GTGTAAAGATGCCCCTGAGACAATCCAGCACATAACAGCAGGGTGCAAGATGCTAGCAGGCAAGGCATACATGGAACGCCATAACCAAGTGGCCAATACCATAGGTCCATTTACTACAAATCTCGGACATTGAAATCTCAGAGACCTTGGCCTCAAGGTCAGAGGAAACGAGGAAGGTGTTCTTAAAATCTTGTGACTGCAATAACTGGAGAATAAAGGTGGCTTAGGATTTTCAAATTGATACCATAGGTGTATCTACTAGAACGCTGAGGGGTAGCACTGGCAAAGATGTAAAGGAATGTGAATTTGTTGCTTATCTTTATTTGAGTATTGGAGTTATGGGCTCTTCCCAATAAATCTTAACACTTTTAAACAATAACTGCAGCACAAGCCCAACTCCAACTCTAGTCAGTCCTCTCCACCCTTTTCCTAACTGCTGAAGAAAAATACAGCAGCAAGCTTTGGGATATCCTCATCTTTCTCCAACTCGTCAGCGTGTGTAGCTATTTTTTTTTTTTATAAATGGTGTAAGATGGACGTATTAGAAAAATTTGCTCATTCATTCAGGTCATTACAATGACATTTCTAAACTCCTCCCACCTGTCTTAAATCTCGTCTTCTTTCTTGTTCTTTGCCCTTTATTATCAGTTCTTTAATATTTATGGGCTGTTTTTACATTTTGGCACCCTTCAAATCAATTTAAATACTACTACTACTACTACTACTGCTGCTATTGATGATGATAATTTAACCCCCCCCCCCCCTCCCCCCAAGGGGGAAAAAAAAAAACTTCAGCCACTCCACAGATGTTTTCTAGCTTCTAGCAGCCAGCTCTCCTCCCATCCACAGCCAGTGTGTTTTGCACAGGTACTGGATCAGCTGCAGTGTTCTGGTATTTGCTAGATTTGACTTTTATTCTGATTACAATTTTTTTTGTTTTGTTCTTTTTTACTTGTAGTTTTAATGCATAGTTGTCAACATTCTCTTGTGTGTGACACATCTTTATATTTCAGGATCAGTGCCGGTCTATATCATGCACACTTTAATTTCCAATAACAGTGTCCCCATAACAATGAGGAAACTGGTTTGTGTTTATTTTATGAGTGGTATGTAGCAAACATTAAATAGGTTTGTGTCTGTCCTGCTTTATGCCCTCTATTCGATGGTGTTTTAATGCAGCCAAATTGACAATAAATCCAAAGTAAATCAGTTTTTACCTTCAAGTCATTTTCTAACTTGCCTTTCTTTCCTGCCAAAGCTTTGATTTTATTCAATTCAATTCAGTTTTATTTGTATAGCGCCAAATCACAACAAAAGTCGCCTC